ATTATAAAATTTTTAAAAATCAAAATTTAAAACTTAAAACTTAAAACTACAATCATACTAAATGGAGTCTAAAAAATTAAATTTAAAATTTTTTGTTTTGCTTTTTAGACTATGTTAAATTGTAAAATAAAAATTATTAAATGAAAATGCAATTCCCAATATCCGAAGTCCCATTCTAAAATCTATTAGATGAGGATGCAATCCTAATATCCAAAGTCTCACTCTATCAATGATTTATGTTAAACAGTTCATATTAGATTTTTTTTTTTATCAAAATATTCAAAGTAGTTTAAAATATGAGTATGTTGTTCTATAGTCTTGAGGGTCCTATCCCTATCCAAGAATCTCTGTTTTCCAGACAAATTACGTCTTGAATACGGAAATGAATTTTATTTTGAATTCAAAGTTTTCTATGAACATGACTATTAATCAATTAGAAATGTCCATTTAATTTGAATGAATAAACATACCTATTCATTGTGAAGAAAATTCATATATCTCTTGAAAGTCATAACCTTTGGTTAAATGAAATAACCCATATTATATGTCCTTTCAATTACTATAATCATACGCAAGCCTAAAGTAAAGAGATATGAAATGAATTTTATCCTTTTTTTAGTTTTTTTAGAGAAAGTTTAAATCTCAAGTTTTGTTGTATTTTGTGGGCATTTTGATGTCCTTAGAGCAGTGATATCACTCTTTTGAACTTCTTTATGTCTTTCTCCTTTTATTTCTTCTTAATAATTCAAGTTGTATAGCACCTTTTTTTTTTTTTTTGGTTATATTTAAGGAATGTGAATTAAATAAATCATATTAATGTAACTTTTGAAAAGTTTTGCATGAGTTGTTTTTTCAGTAGAGAGGAGGGTCTTTCGTTAAAGTTTCTAAATGTAAGTTAAGCAAATAATATGGATTGCAGTTATGATCACTAATGATAATATTATGATCATTAAAACTATAAAATATCATCTTTAAAAGTATTAATTTTATTTAATTCAATTAATAAAAATAATTAATAACTATAATTATTAATTAATAACTAATAAAATAATTAATATTAGTTAATTAATTAAAATTAGTCAATGAATTGATATTTTTAAATTATATTTAAAAAAATAAATCTAAAATTTTAATATTTTAAACAATATTTATGTGACAATA